ATATATATATATATATATATATATATATAGATAGATATATATATATATATATATATAGATATATTTCAATCATATTATCTATATTAAACGAATTGATATCTAATTTTTAAATTCACTTGAACTCAAAACTCAAAAAATATATATATATACATATAATAATATATATATATATATATATATGATTATTATTTGTTCTCAAATATATTTTAAATTTTATTTTATTAAATCTTAGTTTTGAATTTATAAGTCGAAATATTTTTATTATTATTTTTTTATTATTAAAAAATTCGATCATCGAAATTATATTTTCATGAAAATAAAAACTTTGTTATATATCCGAAATAACAATTATAAGTAACAATAAAATTTGTATATTCTCTCAAATTCTAAGAAATTAGAGTTTGTTTATATGTGCTAACATCGTTATTATCATTAGTAAAATTTAGATTAGATTATATAAGAACAGTGTTTTGACAATTGTTTATACTAAGAAGTTTTTTTGCTAATGTCTTAAAAATTAAAATGAAACGATGGTAATATAAGAAAAAATTATTTAATATCAAATCTGACAATATATTTTAATCATTGAAATTTATGAAAAATCCTCTTTTTTAAAATTATCAAATTTTAAAATTTAAAACTTATAAAATTTTTCATTTTATAGCATCAAAAAGAATAAATTTTAATTTCATAAATATAGAATTTTCATGTATAAATATATCTTAATACACATACAAATATCAATACTTATTAATAAAAGTATTAATAGTCTGTATATTTTAATATCTTTTTATTTAAGTAATTTTAATCCATATTGAGATTATTTTGCATATTTTTATTTTATTTTTAGAATAAAATAATTAAATCATATTAAAATTCATCAAAATTCATATTAAAAAACATATTATATATGATTAAGAATTAAATATAAAAATATAAAATTATATCTAACTTACATTTCAATTTCAGGAGGTTGAAGAATTCTATTTTTGTGATAAATTGGAACTTTAAAATATTTTCCCTTATGATATACAACAATATGTTTAGAATCTTGATAATGTACAATTTTGTCTGTTTCACGTCCTGGTATTCTTGTAGTATTAAATACTCTTTCATATTGCCATGAACAGAGAGGCACCAATCCTTGGATTAATATCTGTAAAAAAAAAATAAAAATTGTTTAAATTTATATATAATAGTATTAGTATGAAATATACAAAAACAAAAAATAAAAAATTGAATAATTTTTTTGTTATCAATTATTATTTAATTTTCGAGAAAATTGAGTTTGAAAAGTTTTAAATATAAATAAAATTGATTAATTTTCGATTGAATATAAATAAATTATAGATACAATATTCTATATTAAAATAAGCAAAAAAATAGAATAAAGTTTTATTGTTTAATTTCTTATTTTTGAGAAAATCAACAAATTCTAAAAATTTGCTTTTTTTTGAAAATTAATTTTTAAACGAAATAAAATTAATTTTACATTTTAATTTTACATATAGAATAATCTCCTATTGATAATTCATTCTTATTTAATCGGGAATCAACCAATTATATTTGAACAATTTTCAAATTCATTTTTTCAAAAATGAAGTTTCAAATGAAAAATTTTGTTATGCAAAATTATTTAAAACAACTATTTATCTCATTTAAATAATTAACAGTATCTTTTCACAAATAATTACCAAATATTTGATTAATTAAATATAAAAAATTATATTATTTATATAATACAAAATAAATTACTAACCGGTTCTAATTCTTGCCGTTCAATGAGTCGTCGATATTGTAGACATGAATAAATAACATTTGCAGCACGGGCAACTTGTATATTAGTAGGATACATAAGAATAGCATCAATACCATAAAAATTTGAATTAACCATAATAGGAGATCGTCCACGTAAATACACATATTCTTCCCACCAATCAGAAACATAATTAGTAGCCCACCAAGACTTTAAAATTAAATATCGCTGAAGTTTCACACCAATTCCTTTTTGAAATTCATTAGCTAATGTCTCCATTCGAGCATAATTTTCGTCATCGAGCAATGGTCGAACACTTCGTAGGTACTATTTAAATATATATATATACATATATATAGATTCGATAAATATAAATAAATAAAGAAATGAATATAATCTATATCTAATAATATATAATAATATATAATAATATATATAAAAATATAAAAAATAGTGTATTTTATTTTTTTTGTTTTTCATATAATTTTATAAAATTAAAAACTAAAATATCCTTTAAATTAACTAATTATGATATTAGTTATAAATTGATTTTTACTTTTTATTTTTGTATTTTTTTTAGAAATAGCGAATTGCATTAATGTAGTAAAAATTTCATATAAAAAAATATATGTGATCTTTTTTTTATATGATTTTTATATATGAATATATGTATTTATAAAAAAATTATATGAAATTATTATACTCAAAACTATTTGATTCTTATTTTTCTTGTACAGTAATTATAATAATTTACGTGTAATTTGTAATTATAAATTAAAATTGAACATTTTAAAATTATGAAATATTCTATATTCTAACCCGCTTCATTGTATCTACTACTGAGGGTAATGGTAGGCGTGGCAATGATCCTTGAAAACTATAAAGCATTGGTTTGTGCCATCCAAAGAACAATTTCACTAATGTCGTCCATGTTTTAGTGATCCTTGATGCACTACATCCTTTTTCTCTTGATTCATACATCCATCCCTTGTACATAAGTAACAATTTAAAAGTATATCGAATTACATATATTACTATCAACCATAAAAGCAATCCAATTATAAAAGATCCTGCTAAATGAGCCAATACTGAAGATCTATATAAAAATATAAATTATTCTATTAAAATTATATAAAAATTATATTAAAAAAAATATAAACTATGCTAAATATAAACTTACGCTGAAAGATATGGTGCCGCTTTTCCAACAAGATCATAAGGTACCTTAAAACCAGCAAAATGTATAGCAGTCACTACAGCTATAGTAAACCATAAACTTTCTAAAGAAGCAGGATATACACCACTTCTTAAATTGTTCTGAAATTTATTTAATTCGTTTTATATTCATTCAAAAATTATATTATAATTTTATAAATATTCTAAATTAATATTTATTTACTTACAACAAATCTAAAAAATCTTTTTTTCCAAGAACGGATACCTGATTGCCATACTAAATGTAAAACTTCTCTATCAAAATTAACATCCCATCCCTCATGAGTAATAGAAAAACTAAATGCTACAGCTGAATGTGCTTCTGCCATATCATCAGTTATAAATTATAAAGCTGAAATAAATAAATAAATTTATAAGACTGAAATTAAATTTATGATAAAAAAATAAATTAAATAAAATTAACTGTACATTAAAAGGACAAATTTATATTATATATAATATAATATAATATAATAAAATATAATTTTTATTATATATAATTTCTTAAATTATATTTAAATTATAAAATAAATTATCATATAATAAATATGATGAAATAAATAGCAATAAATAATAATAAAAAATAATAAAAATTATTAACAAGAAAACAAAAATTTTTTCTAATTTTAGCATATTTTTTTATGCTTCAAAATAAGATAATATTTAAAATATACTATTTAAAAATATTTATTATAAAATATCTATTTTTCATTTTTAAGATATATGTATATTTTACAATTTACATGGTTTTTACAATATTATGTTTTTAATAAAAATTTATTTTATATAATGATTTAATGATTAAACTACATTTATTAAATAAATAAATATTTTCTTTTAAAGTATATGATAATTTATGAGAAAATTATATAAATATATATTATTTCATAGAAATAATATCATGAAAATATCAATATAAATTATCATGTATTTTGATAAAATACAATAATATTTTCATACTATAAAATTATAGTAATAAATAATAATACAATTTATAAAAATATATATAATTTTATGAATTCAATAAACTCAAAAATTAACTTTAATTATTTTTATAATTTCTATCATATAATCATGTTATTATTCTATCGTCATATTGTTATTATATTAAAAAGATATTAAATCTGCATACATTCAAATATATTATGTTTGGTTTTTTCAAAATTGTTTTTGTTTCGAATTTTAAACACAAATAAAAAATTTAGCACAAAAATTATTAAATATAATATACACATCATACAAAAGTCATTATTATATCAATTTTATTATCTCTAATCATATATAATATATTTTATCTTATAATAAAAATTAAGAAAGGAAGAAAAGTTTCAAAAATTTTGTTATCTAATAAAAATTAAGAAACGATTAAAAATAATCTATTCTTGCAAATGAACGATTGAATTATACGCTTCAGTTATATAACCTTGGACTTTAGACGATTTGTCTAGTTGGAAACGTGGCCATAATTTTAGCAAACAATTACTTTATTCCATGAGGAATTGCAGTTAGATTTGTATCGTATGTGTTTCTCATAGTTTAGATTACAATCATATAATTTGAAATTTTAGACTAAATAAATATTTAAATTCATAACTATTTTTTTCAATGCATAAGTTTATTTACAATACAGTGAATAACTATTATTAAATTTTGATATATTCATATTTTATAATAGCGCAAATAATATTTTGAAATCTCTTGTCTTATCAATGTTTTTGTAAACAGTAATATTAACATTGACATTAATAATTAACATTAACTATTTATATCTTTAGAATATTTAAAAATATTATATACAATATTTACATATTTACAGCAATTATAGCTTGAAATTAATATCAAAAATAAAATTTAATCTTTGTTACAATTAGAGTCTGCATTCGTTGTATTTATTTTTTAATTCATGTCACGATGTTATAAGGTGAAGAGTTAAATGCAATAATGTAGTTACATCCTCTCCTCGTATTATGCGAATATACGGTATACATCAAATACAATAGAAGTTCATATCTTGATAATAATTCACACAAAAACCATAAATAAATAAATAATAATAAATAAATAAATAATACACAATAAAAAATATTGGTTTCTACATATTTAGAAGTTTTTTTTTTAGTTTTTTTAATTTATTATAAAATCAAATAAATGTCAGCATTTAACTTGTATAATTATTTAAAACATTTTCTTTTATCTTTTATATTTTTTGAAACATTTACTACAAAAATTAAAATAGAATATCCGTATAAAATTTATTTTATCTTAAATATATGTTTTAAAATATTATGTTAAAATATTAAATTAAAATATTATGTTAATATTATTTATTACAGATAAATTCTAAAGAAAATGCAAAAAAATAAATATAATAAAAAATGCAGAAACAAATCAAAGTCAATTTAAATATAATGTTATAAATTGATATTTTATATATTAAACATTAATAATTCATATTATTAGATATTAAAATTATCTTAAAATTTGTTTATTTTATTTGTAGATTAAAACAAAATATATTTTATAAATATATATAATATCTGTTTATAATTTTTCTAAATAAAATATATTGCCACATAGTTATAATTTTATATTGTTTTATATATTTTTTTTATATATATCTCTAAATAAAAGAGATGATTAATTATTTTATTTATCAATTTATATGTAATATTCATATAATATATTTTTTATTAATATATTTATTAAATTTTTAAATACTTTAACAATATGAAAAATTAAAATAGCCAAAACTAATAATATAATTTAAATATATTTATCATAATTTATTATCAAGAATTATCATTTCTTAATATTTATAATCATTTATTATTTAAAATTCAAAATAAATTTAAATATTATAATGTAATTAAAAAAATTAAAAGTTTATATATATAGAACATTAGAATTAAAAAAGTTTTTAATTATTTAATTTCTTTAAGATAAAATATAATAACAAATAATAAAATTTTAATTATAAATATAATTTTAGTTTTAAATAAATACTTAATAATAATAATCTTTCTTAAATTAATACTAATAATAATAATCTTTCTCAAATCAATACAATTCAATAATAATTGATAAAATCAAATTATAATTGAATATATCAATATTTCGTTATTTCATATATATTATTGTAAAAATCATTAAAATATATTAATTTTGATTCAAAAATAATCAAAAGTTTAACGAAACTTATAAAATATTAACTAAAATATTGTAAATTGGCCAAATTGTAAAAAAAGAGAAAAAAAAATTAAATCTAAAATCATAAAATAATGTAATGAATATTGATTTTTAAAATTCTTAAAAAGAACAGGACAAAAAATGCCATATCATACTGATGTTGCAGTTAAATGGATTTTTAAATTAATATATATAATTAATATGTATATGTCCATATCAATCAGTTATGATGCTATCATGAAAAATTTATTTTGATTGAAATATTGTTGAAATTTGTTTTAAACGAAGTTTTATTATTATTACTTTATAAAAAGAGAAGAACCAATACAATTGCAAAAGTAATGTAGCATAAACTTTCACATATATTATGCTATTTTTTCATACTTTTATATATTATATATGCAGATTTTCATTATTATTTTCAATTACAGAACATAATAATAATAAACATTATAGATATTTTTAAAACTGAAATAAATCTTATATTGATTAGATTAATTATATTATAATTAATCTTATTATATCACACATAACATATCATTTACATTATGTTCTTTTATATATGACATTGATAATAATAATAACAAATAATTTACAGAATAATAACTAATGATATAATCAGAAAGAATAATTCTACATTAATAAATAAATCGAAAATATAGAATAAAATTTTTTCGTATGAAGCTTGTTTTCAAAAAAAAAAGTACGACTTTAAATATTAGCCAAATATACATACATTTAAGTCAAAACTATATCAAGACTATGAAAAAATAACTTAATTAATTAAAATAATAGAACAGTCAGGAAATATTAGAAATTAATTCATAATTATGTATAACGGAATAGCTAACATTTTCTACAATTTTTGTAAGAATAAAATTTATTATAAATTAATATTCTGTGTATTTTTGATTATATAATTCAATAAACATAAATGAATGAACCGAAAAAATAAATTACAACATATAGTCGATTAGTTCGAGTCAATCAAATATATAAATATTCAATGAATATTAGAGTCAATTTTTTCGAAAAGAATTTATATATTTTTAACAAAATTAAATATATGATTTTTTTTTGTATTTTTTATTGAACTTTGAATATTTTCGAATATATTAAAATTCCAACTTGACGAAAAAAAATTAATTTAATTAATTTTATAACAATTATAATAATTATAATAATAATTAATAATAATAAATAAAATAATAATATTAATTTTTAATATCATTAATTTTGTAATTATTTTATTATGTAATAATATATGTAAAAGGTCTGATCAAATAACATATATAAACATAATTTCTTATGAATAAGTAAAAAAAATAGAATAAAATTTTTTCATCTAAAATTTGATTTTTAAATTCAAAAATTGTTCAATTATAAATGAAATTGGTTAATTCCTAATTGGATACGAATAAATTATCAATAAAATTATCAAGAAAGTTATTCTATAAATGAAAATAGAATATATATAAAATAAGCAAAAAATGTAAAATTAATTTTATTTTGCTTAAATTTCGAGAATACAAATTTTAGAAATAATTTTCGAAAATACGAATTTTAGAAATCGTCAATTCTTGATAACTTCTTGATAACTACATGTTTAATCTCTATTTTCTCAAAAACAGGAAAAATATTACAAATAATATTATTTTATTTTATATTTTTTAATTATTTTCATATAGGATTCCTATATTTATAGAATAATTTTTTATCATTTATATTTATATAATTCATTCATATCTGATTAAAAATTAATCAATTTAATTTGTATTTAAAAAGTTTTCAAATTTGATTTTTTCGAAAACATAGCCTTAATAAAAAAAATTTATTTTATTTTTGAGATATCATGAGAAATCATTCTTATATTCAGTCGGATCGTATATATACATTATATATATAAATTGTTTCAAAAAGATTATTTTTATATAATAAAAATTATATCATAATAATATACTATTATAAAAAATTTTATTTCAAAAATTTTTTTTTAATTTTGCAAGCAGAATAATTATTTTAATTTAATTTAAATTTTAAATCTAATTTAATTGAAATTCATGTATATTTGATATGTTTTTAAATTTGAATTTTTTTAAAAATAAAGTTTCAAATGGAAAAATATTATTCTTTTTTTCAATTCGTTTTTGTATAAATGTTTTCTGTCTTATTGTATTTTTTATGTTAGAATACATATATATTCTGCAATATTTTATTTTTAGTACATATTACATATTTTTATTTTTACTATAATTATTTGTTAGTCATAATTATTTTTCATGATTTTGAAAACAAAATATTTTACAAATGATTATAATAAAAAAAACTTTTTTTTATATTATATATGTATGAGAATTAAAATCATAAATGTTATTAAAATTTTTTATATATAAACATTTAAATAATATCATAAATTGATCAAATATTAATATAGTTTATAATATTAAATATATTTTAAAATAAAACATAAAAAATAATATTAAATTAAATGAATTGTAAATTTCACATAAATATAATATAATATATATTTTTATCATTATTTCTATTTACATTATTTCTATACATTTATAAAATTTCATACATCACATTTTTATAATTTTTGTTTTTTGCAAATTAAATATTAGATTTAATATAAAATATAAAAAACATATATTTCAATTTTGATAATAAGATGACATATCAAATTTTATTATTTAATTAATTAATTATAAATATTATTTTGTAAATATGTGTTAATTACATTAAAAAGATAAAATCAAAGTTATAAAACATATAAATAAAAATCTAAGATACAATAATATTTTAATGTTTAAAATACAAAGATGAATTATTTTATAATATCCCATATGGTATATTAAAAGTAAATCAATTCATTTTTCATAAATATTTTTAATTATTTTTTTAATTTATTTATATAATTATTAAAAAATGTGAAATTTAAATTAACTATTTGTATGTAATATATAATAAAAAGTATGATGAAAATAAATTAATCATAATGTTATTTAATGTGTTATATCAACACATAAATATTTTATAATTTATTTGAAATTGATATATTGGAATTAATATAAAAGCAAAAGCTATATTTAAAATTTAATAATATTTTTTGAATGACATTTCTGTAATTTCTATAATGTAATCATACTCTTCTTTGTTAGAAGAAAGTATAATCATTCCATAGCATTTCGTTTATATAAATAAAATGGAAGTCAAAGGTTATTAGCCTTAAGAACTAAACATGTATTCTCATTGGTTAAACTCAAGGGTGTGTGTGGTTGTGCCTCCCATCTTGGATTTTTTACGTGTAAGTAGGCCAAAATAATTTACTTAGTCGCTATTAATAAACTACTATTTTCTAATGTATTGCTTATATTCATAAATAAATAAAAATTAATTATCATAACATTACCAAAATTAATAAAACTTCTTATGTCGCATACGAAAAAAAATTTTATCATAAAAAATATTTCACAAAGTAAGTCACAATTATAAATCTTCAAATATTTCAATCCACCTTTACACCTTTCGTCGTACTGCCGCTACACGCTATGACTCCTTCGTAAGTAATACACTATTCACTCTGCTTTTAACTCCCTCTCTTAAATTCACAAGTGCATCAAACAACCAAGTTACCAACTTATTGGCTAAACCAAACTATAAAGTGTCAGATGCTTTACATTTGACATATGAATGTTGTCAGCCAGAGAATATAAGAATATAAACAAAACTATATTATATTAAAATCTAGAGGAAAATATCAAATTTTCAATTCTAAAATGTAAAATAGAGAAATTTATTTTTCTTTGCATTAATTAATGAAAAATTATCAATATTTCAAGAAAACAATTCATAATTTTCAAAAAAACTTCTAAAAATATCATAAATAGATTCTATTTTTATGAATTGAAATTTTATAAATAATTTCACAGTCTATTTTAAATTTAAATTGTAATGAAAATAAGTTCGGTAATAATATTCCAATTCTCAAATCAATTGTCAACCAAATTATTAAAGTTATATCAAATTAATAAATTGTTATAGTTACGAACATAGTTTTCTGTAATTTTATAAAATATTTGCTCACATATATAAATTATATTATAAAGATATTGTAAAATAGTTATAGTTTAATATAATTATAGTAGAGCATTATAGTATTTTTTGTATTTATATTAATTATTTGACTTTTCTTTTTTATATTAAAAATTAAAATCAAAATTTTCAAATTTTTATTTTTTATGCTTTATTTTAATTTTTATTAATTATTTGATATAATAATTTAATATTATGGTATTACTACTATATATATTATGTAGCTTTTTTCATACTATATATATTATATAGTTATATTCATAAATTAACTTATACATTATAACTATATTATATCTTTTAATATATAATATTGTTGTATATATAGTAATATTTGTAATTTAATTTTTATTTTAATAAAATTACATTGATCATCAGTTCAAAACTATAATATATATAATCAAAAAAGAAAAAATTATTATAAAGCAATATATATTTATATTTTTGTAAAAAGATTATAATTATTTTATATTAATTAAAATTATAAATCTTAGTAATATTGATTTTTTAATTTGAAATTGTTCATATGAATTAATCTTTATTATTAAGTAAAAAATATGAATGTATTTTTATTTATTTTGATAAAGTAAAAAAATTGAAATAATATATATAATATAATATAAATATAATATAAATAATATAAATAACATTCGAAAAATATAAATTTGAATAAGTTTGGTTTTCAGATAGATTTATTTATATGCAAAGTTGTCCCTTACATTATTGCATAATAATTTATATATATAATATATTATTGTATAATATCTTATATGTAAAATATATAATTTATATATTATTATTTACTAGGAAAAAGAGATTATAAAACCAATAATTTTTTTCTGAGAATTAATCATTAATTTATTTTCACTTTTTTATAAAGTTGCTAAAAAAAATTTAGAAATGGAAATAGGGAAAATAACAAGTATTTTATTTACATTTTATTATCGTTATAAAACAAGAATTTTATCTAGATAATATAATAAAATACTGTTATTTCTTCCATTTTCATTTCTAAATGCCATTTAGCAATATTACTTTTTCCCATTCTTCTAAAAGTTGGATTTTTTTTTAACAAGCCTGTTTATATATTAATTTAACTTTTTTGTTTAGTTTTAAAAATCTTATTTATTTTTCATTTCTATTAACTTATATGCTTAATTACTCATTTCAAAAACTATATTCTTGTTTAAAAAATTATTAAATGAATTTACATTAATATTTTCTTAAATGAATATAAATACTTTAAATATAACCTCAAAGGTATTCGAAGTTTACTATTTATATATTAGATATTATTTCTACTTATTATAATTATAATACTTATGTTATTTATATATGAATATTAAAATATTAGATTATATATATTTAAGTCAATTTCTCTAGAATATTTTTGTTATTTTAAAAACTTGTCAAATTCAAAATACAAAAAAAAAATAATCCTTTTTATGTTAATAATTATAAAATTATAAATTTCTAGTTATATATTCTATTATTATTCTAGTTATATATTATATTATTATTCTAGTTATATTATTATTATAATAAATTAAATAAAGATAAAAATATATACATATAATATGTACCAATTCCTATGACATAGATCATATATATATATCTGTATAACCTTATTTTTAAATTGTTATTTTTAGACTATGTTAGAATTTTATTTCAATATTATATTTTATATTATAAATCTAAATTATATATTTTTATTTAGAAATATTAACATACATAATATTTACATTTTTTGGTTAATTTAGATAAATATCAAAATTCATAATAGAAAATCTACAAATAAATACATACTAAATCTAAAAATAAATACATAATTTTCTCGAAATATTTATTTCGTTATTAATTATTTTCAAAAATATAAAATATTAGAATTGTTTAAAATATTTGGTTTTTCGAAATATTATTATATTATTTTTTTATTATGGCATTTCCAGATAAATTTCTTTATTTGAACTTTTTTGAACAAATGTAAATAATTTTTTTAATGATAGTGATAGATGATCATTTTTTATATTTTGAATTTATGTGAATCATAATTAATAATAAAGTATGTTTTAATATTACTCACTTTTTAAAAAACTTGATTAAAATTTTTTTGGTTTCTAAGATTTTCTTTTTAAATCAAGAACTGTTGCGATTCGAATCATAAACTAAGAATTTTAAATTATTATGAATTACATTTTTTTTGTTACAGATTTTGCCTTTCTCAGTCTTTAATTTTGAATAGATATTTATTAAATTTAATGATTTATTAATTGTACCAAAAACTTAAATTTTTTTATATTTCATTCCGATCATAATTTTATGATTCATATAATTTTTTATTATAAAACTAACGATTTATTTTTAAATTACAAATTACGAAACGAAAAAATGTAAAGAAATTAAATATTACTTTTAAAAATATAAACGATAACAAAGTAAGATAAGAGAATAAATTATCGCAATTTGAGCATAATTCAGCTAAATTATCACAATTTGAGCATAGTTCTGAGTTATTAAAAATAATCATTGAATAAATATCTCCGATAATATTTTGTTTTATATTGACTAATGTTAATATTTTTTTGTAAGAAATATTCAACTGGATCGAATAACATATTAATTATAATATAATAATAATCGATAATTATTGGTAATGTAAATAATAATAATTTTCAATATTATAATTGAATATAATTATTGATGAATATTATTATGAATATGAATATGAATAATTGAATATAAATATTATAATTGGTTGATAATTATCAATAATTAACAATGCCAATAATAATTTTTTTTAATAATCATGTGTAGATAAATAGGAATTATGTCATGTAAGTATAGAGAGTGAAGTGAGAATACTCATGTGATATTATTCCTTCAAGAAGGAATTTTTGCGGTAATGATCTTGTAACTTATCTTTATTCAAATATATTAAAAGTAATATATGTATTGTATATATTTATATTTTTAATTATTTGTCATATTTAAATTTCTAAGTTGTATATTTATGAATCATATGAATTAGAGTTTTAATAATTATATTATATATATATACATATATTAATTTTCTTAATTTTTTGTTATTAGAAGTTTACTTAAAAGGATTATTACTATTAAATATCTGAAAATAATTACATAAAAAAATGGATTCGATAAGATTTGGTTTATTAACAGGTAATTTTATTATATTTTTATTTATTATTATATTTATTTTATATAAAAATTTAAAATTGGAATTATAATAGATAGATATTTTTATTATATTATTATTTTATATAACATTATATAACATAATATATAACATAACAACTATATAACATAAATCATAAATTTTATTGTTATATAATTTTAATAATATATTATAAATCATTCTTTAATTAATTATTATTATTATTTAATTAATTATTGTAATTCAATTTTAAAGTTATATTTTTTTTATAAAAAAACAATTATATTGAACATCTGTTACTTATAAGTAAATTTTTATTTTTTAATAATAAAATTTATATTTTTATCATCAGTTAGCGATAGTTGTTATAAACATAATAGTGAAGATAAAAGTGGATTTGAAATAGAGCAATGTATTAAAGATAAAAATTCTGATATTGGAAAGATTTTAAAAGGTGAAATATATTATAAAACTATTGTTCCAGATGAAGAATATATAATAAAGGTATATATATAAAAAATTATATAAAAAAAATTTTAATAAATATATATATTATATTTTTTTATATTACAATTAAAAAAAGCTTTTAATAATATTTTATATAAGTTTGTTATAATTAGGAAAATCTAATTTCTTGGAGTGATAGTAGACAACTAGATGTTATCTTAACAATTGGTGGTACAGGATTTTCTAAAAGAGATGTGACTCCTGAAGCAACAAAAGAAATTATTCATAAAGAAGCTTCTGGTATAATTACAGCCATGCTAATGTCTAGTTTAAAAATTACTCCAATGGCTATGTTATCTAGGTAAAATATATCCGATTAAATTTCTAAAAGTCATCATTATTTTAATTTTATTTCAAATAAAATTTAAATAGATATTTAAAATATTAAACTATTTTGATTTCATTGAATAATTTTCAAGAGATTTTTTAAATAAAAAATTAAATTTTTTGTTGTTTTCTTTTTTACTTTAATAAATAATAAAAATAGTGCTTAATAAAAAAATATTAAAATATGATTTTTATCATATATTATTAAATTCTGTTATATTTTAAAAAATTGTTTAATATTTATATATATTTGTTTTATATATATAGAGTGTTCTGATTATAAAGTGTTATACGTATTATAAGGAATTTCGCTACATTACTTAATTCTTAGTATTTACTTAGTAGTACTTAATTCTTATAATTTAATTTTATTAAATTCTTATATAATATTCTTTATTAATTATTTGAAATAATTCTTATATATAGTATTTGTATTCTTTATTAATTGTTTGGAATAAAAAAAATATTCCAAGGAAATATTATTAAATTTGATAACAATTGTTTTATTTAAATAACAAAATATTAATATGCTATTCTATTTAAAAAAAAAGAATATTTTCCAG